CTGGGAGGACAGAACGCGCCGAGAGGTGGGGTGGTAGAACTGCCACCCAGGGGCGTCGGGGGGGAACCCCAGGAAGACGCAGGGAGCAGCGCGAGGGGACAGCTTGTCCGCAGACAAGTCGCGGACAAACGCCCGAGATCCCCAGACCCGGAACGCCGACGCATCGCCAACCTTCCCCGTCCACAGCAGCGCTGGGGAGGTCTCCGGCCTGGAGACCCTGGGGTGGAGGTTGATCTGATGTGCCGCGTACCTGACTGCAAACGGCCACAGAAAATGGGGGGCAGCCGCATGCATCATAGACGTACGAGCGACGTCCATGACCATGCCAATGCGGCGCTCTGCAATCCCATTTTGCTGCGGTGAGTCCGGAAGCGTGAAGGTCTGGCGGATGCCTCGCGCACGACAGAAGGCACGCAGAAGGCCAGAGGAGAACTCTCCGCCTCTGTCCGAGTGCAGACGCAACACAGGAAAGTCCGAGCCAAAGCTCTGCCTGAGCTGGAGACGAGCCTCGCGGATCCAGTCGATCAGCACCTCAGTGACATCACCCTTGCTGCGCAAGGGGAAGACTGTGGTGTAACGCGAGTAGTCGTCAACCACCAACAGGAAGTAGCGCTCGTGACCGAGTCCACGGACGAGGGCAGGGCCCCACACGTCCATGTGAAGTGTCTGCAACGGAGCCTCTGTCGGAGGAAACTGGGAGGAGTGAGGGGCAGCACGCTGGCGCCCCTCGACACAGGGGACACAGGCAGGGCCAGGACCCTGAGGAAGGGGAGGGAGGGACCGGGGGAGACCAGAAACAAGAAGACGGGAGGCCATGCCTCTGAGCCGAAGCAGAGAGGGGTGGCCAAGGCGGTGGTGCCAGAGGAGAGTCTCGTGAGACAGACGGCGACACGAACAGGGGGCAGACTCAGGACCAGACCTGGACGCTGCAGCTAACACCTGACCAGACGAAGGGACTCTACCAGACTCAGCACCGGGAGGAGAAGCAGTGGTCAGTGTGTACAGGCTCGACCCTGGCTGACGTCTAAACGTAGCCAGGTGGTGACCTGTGCTAGCCTCTGTGCAGTGTGTCACCCGCTGACGAGCTGGAGTGAACTGGTGGACACCCACATCCTGTGGGTCAGCACCACTCACCAGGTTCGTAGAGAAGGAGGGAAGGTAAAGACCAGTTAGGGTGCCAGAGGGAGCCGCCGGACATGGGAGGACTATGGAGAAACGAGACAGGACAGGACCCCCAGAGGGGTCAGCCAGGGACACCGCAACAGGCCGACTAAGCGGCGTGAGAGTGGTGCGGTCCCGAAAGAAGGAGCGAGACGCACCAGAGTCAAGGGTGAAGGTGTGAGAGGCAGAAGCCGACACAGTACCTGAGAGGGCAGACTCACTAGCACCTGAGAGCACAGACGCACTAGCACCTAGAGCAGCAGCCTCACCGGCACCTGACACTGCAGTACCAATGGCCGGGTCGGGCGGGAAACACCGGTAACAGTCACCATCATCACTAACAGTCACAGCATACATGGTAGCAAGGATAGCATCAAAGTCAAGATCAAACACAGCTACACCAGCCCTAGACAGCTCTCCCCAGCGGGGGATCTCCGAGGCCTCCGGAAACTGCTGGCGCCAAGCGTCGGTCAAGCGGGCAAAGCAGCGGCGAGCGGTGTGGGTGCCCCCACACTGCTCACCCGCGCGGTCGCTGGTGCGAAGGACGTAGGCGCAGGGACCGAACGCCCCACCACGCTGACGCCGCGAGTACCACTCACGGAGCTGCTGAGGGGCGGGGACGTCGCGAGAGCGCTGCTGGTGCTGCTGCTGCTGGCGCTGACCACCCCCAGTGCTGCTCCTCTGGGACAAGCCACTCCGACCACCTCCACCACCGCCACCCCCGCCTCCGCCGCTACCGCCGCCACCGCCACCCTCGCCCCCGCCGCTCCCACTGCCTCCTCCGCCACCACCTCCGCCGCCACCTCCGCCTCCACCGCCGCCACCAGTACCTCCACTCCCACCTCCACCCCCACCGCCACCCCCACTCCCCCCGCCGCCCCCACCTCCTCCGCCACCGCCCCCGCTAGCTCCACCCGCTCCCTTGCCCCCCTTGCTCCTGCTAGAGCGGCGCCTACCGCTGGGGCAGACGCCGCACCGACCGACTCTAAACCAACGAGGTCGGCCGCAGCAGCAGAGGCGACAGAGGGGAGCAGGGGGGAAGGAGAACACCCCTCAAAGATGGGGGTGCGCGGATCACCACGAGAGGCCCCTACAGCGACTATGCTCTTCTCGGCCGCTAGCAGGGACTTCTCGAGGAGGTCGACAGTGAGGGTGGTGGGACAGACAGAGAGAAACTGGTCCCTAACAGCACGAAGGGACTCAGGGAGACGGGTGACTAGAAAGTAGAGGGTGATGTACATGGGAGGGGGGTTTTCGGCGAGGAAGGCAGCAGGAAGCGCAGCTCGGTAGCGAGTGTCGCTAGCGCGAAGGTGGGTAAAGAGGTCAGTGACTGTGGGAAAGGCAGCAAGGTCAGGGAAGAGGTACGGTAGCATGAGGCGGCTCAGTGTAGCAGTGGAAGGGGAGGAGTAGCGTGCAACTACAGCGTCGTACAAGGCCTGAGCGGTCTTGCACTGACTAAATTGTGCACGCTCGGAGGAAGGAAGGTGGCGACGCACAGCAAGACGTGCAGCAGCATCGCGTGTGGCCCACTTGGAGCGAACAGTGGGGTCAGCATCAGCAGGAGGGGCAGGGACAGCGCCACAGACAAAGTCAAAGAGAGAAACCTCATCGATCGCATCGCACAGTAAGTACAGTTGCAGGTCCTCAATCCAGACTGCAAAGTCAATGGCGCGACCCTCAGCGTCAAAAGCCAGGACATTGGGGGTGGCCATCGTAGCAGCTGACAATCTCACCGGGCAGGAAGAGTCGGGAAGCACAGCGGCACAGCAACATGGCAGCACAGCAGCTGCGCCGGCCCAGGAGCAGCAGCAGCCCCACAGGAGTAGGAGCTCGGCACCTCAGGTTGCTCGGGCGGCTCGGGCGGCTCGAGCGGCTGGGGCGGCGCGGGCGGCTCGGGCGGCTCGGGCGGCTCGGGCGGCTCGGGCGGCTCGGGCGGCTCCGGCGGCTCGGGCGGCTCGGGCGGCTCGGGCGGCTCGGGCGGCACAGGCGGCTCGGGCGGGTCTGCTGCACGGGCGGCTCGGGCGGCTCTGCTGCACGGGCGGCCCGTTCGGCTCGGGTGACGCGGGTGGCACGGGTGGCGCGGGCGTCGCGACGGGCGGCTCGCTGGCGGCTCGCGGGCGGCTGCACGGGCGGCTCACGGGCGGCTGCGGGCGGATGCACGGGCGGCTCACGGGCGGCTGCGGGCGGCTGCACGGGCGGTCCACGGGCGGCTGAGGGCGGCTGCACGGGCGGCTCACGGACGGCGGCCTGGGCGGTCGCGGGCAGCTCACGCTGGGCGGCTGCACGGGCGGCCGCACGGGCGGCTGCACGGGCGGCTGCACGGGCGGTTCGTCGGGCGGCGCACAGGCAGCTCACAGGCGGCTGCACGGGCGGCGCGGCGAGCTGCTGAGGGCGACGCACGGGCGGCGCACGGGCGGTGCGACGGGCGGCTCGCGGGCGTCGGGCGCTAGGGCGACGACGGGCGGCGCTCAGGCCCTAGGGCGGGCGGCCGTCAGGCTCTAGGGCGGGTCGCGCTCGAGCTCTAGGGCGGGCAGCGCGCGGGCGCTAGGGCGGGCGGCGCGCGGGCGTCTAGGGGCCGTTAGGGCAGATCGAAAAAAAAAGGAAGTAAGAGGGCCCGGAGCGCGCTCCGGGCAGAAAAAAAGTTACGAGGTAGCGGAGGTGGGCCCTAAGAACAGTTCCCACAGGGGAACCTGCTCGATACCATGAGAAGAAGTGAACGAGAATGAAATGACTATGAACGAAGTGAGTACAAATAGGAAACCCTAATTGGGTTGTACCCCCTATGGGATACCCCACTATAGCCTACACAAATAAGTAAGCTATATGTTCTGACAGTACCGCGTCGGCTCAGGCCTTGCACAATTTCATCCTTGACTCGGGTGCTTCCCGCTCCTTCTTTCGCGACTGCACCACACTCTCGCCGCCTAGTCGGCCAGTGACAATCTCTCTAGCTGACCCCTCTGAGGGTCCGGTCCTTGCACACTCCTCCACGGTTCTACCGTGTCCGGCGGTCCTGTCTGGCTCTCTGTCTGGCCTCCACCTCCCCTCGTTCTCCACAAACTTGGTGAGTGGAGCTTACCTTCAGGACGCGTGGGTTGACCAGTTCACTCCTGGAGGTCAGCGGGTGACCCACTGTTCCTATACTCAGACGGGCCGACACCTGGCCACGTTCACCCGTCAGCCTGGGTCGAGCCTGTACACCCTGACTACCGTGTCTCCTCCGGTTGCTGAGTCTGGTCAGGTAGCCGCGTCGGGTCAGGTGTTTGCTGTAGCGTCCCGGTCTGGTCCTGAGTCTGCCCCCTGCTCGTGTCGCCTCCTGTCTCACCAGACTCTCCTCTGGCACCACCGCCTTGGTCACCCACACACACACACACACACACACACACACACACACACACACACACACACGATCTGACCACCCTTCCCTGGTCTCCATCTCTCCGAAGTCCCACCGTACTCCGCAAGAGTGCATTGACACAGAAACGCATTGAGATACCCATGCGGCATTGTTATACCCGTACAGATACATAACTGGGATGATCACACACAGAACCATGCACTCACACACATGCACCTACACATACTCGCTCCGCGTGCACGCATCTACTTGCTCCATCCTACATATGCACATGCGTTCATTCACACCCTGTGAGCTCACACATCCACCTCCCGCCCACCAACTCCAGCAAAATGCATAACATAGAGTTCCATTCATTGGGAGCAAGGGATTCTCCCTTTCTGCCAGCATTGGGAGGTTTTCCACGTCGACTCAGAAATCGCCCCATTCACACCCCGCGTATGCATTCATCCCACCTCCCGCCCACCAATCCCTCAGCAAGATGCAGAACAAAGAGTTCGTGGGGTCCTCGCTTCCTGCAAGCATTGGGAGCGTCCCCAGCCTCGTTTCCCTGTATGTGACCTGTGCTGCTCTCAAATCCCACGCCTGGAGTGTACCTTTGTTTCCAAAATTACTTCTTAGTCGGCTGAGAAGTCGCTTTGTTCCCATTCGCATCAGTACCTGCTTCCCCTCCCAACACTAGAGGATACGTCCCAGTGTACACCGGTACACTTCTTTTCGAAACAGATCATCATTATGTGTATTCATATATTTTGCGTTATATCCGTGCAAGTTTCAGATTTCTGGTGGCATGACAATCCACCACACAATGCTCTACAAACAACAAAAGGCCCACCTGCTGAGATTCAACTGGCACATGTATCATTATCATCTCTTTTTCTCCCTCTCCCTCTCCCATTTTTTAGTCGACTCAAAAGCAAAAGGCTCAAATCATCATCTCTTTCTCTCCCTCTCCCTCTCTTCTCTCTCCCCCCTCCGTTCCCCACGTACCCCTGACCCCTTTCCACCTCTGCCATAACAGTGAGGTAACTGGCAGTGGGCTGACTGGGGCGATTCCTGGCGATCTCAGCGCAAGCGCCAACCTGAAGCACCTGTGAGCGCCAAGAACAGTCCTCGAAGCTGGCCACGGCCTTCATTTATCTGAGAACCAACTGTAGCTGCAACTTCTTTCTCTTCTTGAGTCTCTGTCAAGGAATCGCGCTTTGATCCACATGCTCAATCCATTCCACAAGACCCTCTCTCACCCCACCCCTGGCTCCCTCTCTCCCTGTGTGCAACAGCGACCTCTCAAGGAACGCCTTCATCAGCCTCTCATCCGCCATCGCCTCTCTCTCCAGCCTCGAATACCTGTAAGCCGCCAAGCCACCTCGCCTTTTGCCACTCTCTTTATGTTTTGAAGTTGACTTTTGAGTCGACTCATAAGTCACCGTCGCCTCTCTCTCTTTCTCTCCAGCCTCGAATACTTGTAAGCAGCGAAATCCACCTCACCTTTCAACACTCTCCCCGTGCTTCCCATCCCATTTCTCCAACGCTTCTTCTCACCTCCTCTTCCTATCCCATACATCTCCTCTCCCATGTCCTTGCAGTGACCTCAGTAGCAATGTCTTGGACGGCCCCATTCCTCCGGAGCTTATGACACTCACCAACCTTGCTCGCATGTGAGTGACAATGCTAATAATTCATTCGAAAAAGCCCTGACATTGGCAGCAGCTACCATATGCCTCTCAATTGCCTGCGTTCCTCACTAATCCCGTTCACTCTTTACTGCTGCTATCAGTCCGTTTCATCACTCCTTCTCATCACTTCACCTCATAAATCCCACCCATCATTTCCTCTCACCACTCCCTCGCATCACTCCTCCCTCCCTCATCACTCCGTTGCATCTCTACACCTGTTCCCCCATCCCCTGTGGCATGGGGCAGTGATATGACAAATAACAGCCTCAATCTCCTGCGTTTCCGCACCAATACCCTCTCATCACTCCGTCTCCTCTACATCTACTCCCCCATCCCCTGTCGCATGGCATGGGCAGAGACATGCAGAACAACAGCCTCAACGGCTCCATCCCTGATACCATCTCCAACCTCCAAGCCCTCACATATCTGTAAGCCTCGCCTCCTTATCCCTGTTGTGCTTCCCTCACTGCACAGCCCTCACTCCACTGCCCTCACTCCATTGATATGCCCCCGGCCACTTCTCTTGGAGCAGTTATCCTTCACTCCAATCATCAAGCACGTTTGAATCTCTTTCTTCCAGTGTATAGTGCACAGTCAGAGAGAATCCGTTGGCATCATTCTTAGCCCTAATCCTCATCTCCTCTCTCACCTACCCCGTGCCACCCTGCCTCTTCTAACCTCTCTCCCCGTTGACTCGCACATGCTCGCAGGGACCTGTCTCTAAACTTTCTCTCTGGGCCTATTCCCGCAGGCATTGGCTCCATCCCCAAACTCCGTACCTTGTGAGCAAGTCATGGATGGACAACACAGGCATATGCACACGCTCACACGGACACTAGCACACATGCGCACATGCACATGCATGCGCACACGCTCGCACGTGCACACACACACACACAACTCCACACTTGCAGAAGCGCTTGCAAAAACGACGCTCCTTCATTTCCAGCCTCACATCTCGACTGTTTATAAACTCTTCCTCCTTTCTTCCTCTACCTTCCCACCCTTCCCACTCCCCCTTCCAGGTGGTTGGGAACGGGCCCTGAGTGCCCCAAGGAGTACAACAGCTGTGTGGTGCACCAGAGCTCCAGCAGCTAGCTGTGTCTTTTGAGCAGACTGAAAAGCCTCCTTCTGCCATCCTCTCCCCATTCCCCTTTCCAGGTGGCTGGGAACCGGCCCTGAGTGTCCCAAGGAGTACACGAGCTGCGTGGTGCAGCAGAGCTCAGGCAGCCAGCTGTGCGCGTTGTGCTCCTTCTTCTGCACCACCTGTGACAAAACGAACCGTGAGTTGGATTCAACGAAGGAACCTAAATGGATACAGTTGCAAAAAAAAAAAAAAAAAAAAAAAAAAAAAAAACTGGAATGATTTAGTTGTCAGTCACAGGATGAACAAGCGGACCACTTTCCCACACTCTGTTCCTCTCACCCCGCTGCTCCATTTTTCTCACCTCGCTCCACCTGTTTTCTAACCTCGCTCCACCTGTTTTCTCAACTCGCTCCACCTTCCCTTCACTCCACCTCCTTATTGTAACAACTCAGTCGCTGACCACCAGGGCCAACATGCATGTAGACCTTCCGTGGACCATCAGGATGCTCTCGGTGTCAACTCATCATTCCCCATTTCGCATTCCCCTCATTCCACATTCCCCTCATTCCACGTTTTCTTTTTCCACCTCTCTGGCCCTAACATCTTCTTCCATACCCGCTCAACAGCTCTGGACAACCTTAACTGGAACATTGGAGACCCCACCACCACCATCACCACCACCAACAACAACCACAACAACGCCAACGCCACGGCAAATTCCTCCAGCTCGGGGCTGTCAACAGGAGCCATTGTGGGCATCGTGGTGGGTGTGCTGCTGCTCATTGTTGGCGTCGTTGCCGTTGTCCTCATCATCATTCAATGCGGAAAGAAAACCGAAGGTGGGGCGCCACTTCCTACTAACGTATTTCTATGCTTTCTTCTCTCAAGTTTTTTCTTTACACAAGCACGCAAATTCACCCGAAAATCACGCCATCTCCCACGCCAGCAACAGACAAAGCTAACAACGATACGAACGTAACAATTATACATGAGAAACGCTCTGTTCTCCTGACAGCAACCGCAACCTCTGCCCTCACAAAGCCATCAGCAATCTGCCCTTCTTCCTGTGCAGAGGTGGAAGTTCCAGCATATACAGGTGAAGGCCAGTACCCTGCTTCAACCGCAGCTCCTCAGGGCGCCTATGCTAAGGGCTATGGCAGCTACCAGCCAGATGCGAGTGCCAAGGTCTAAACAAGGCAGCTTCACGTCCCAATACCTGCTACTCTACGTACACTTGCACCTGCTGCAATCTGCCTCACATTTGCTGTATGTCACTCAGGATAATGGTACAACCTGCTACTTTTGATTATTTATGTGTGCCTCCCCTTTTGGCTTACTAGACGTCTTTTTTTGTTCCGAGCGAACAAATGTATTGGAAGAGAATTATGAATAGCTTTGTCCTTCGTGGCCCGGGGTCAAACCTGGTGCAGCAAAATCATGTGTGACTATGAGCCTAGAGCTGATTATTAAAATTCCATACCGGAACCGGTAAGATCTCAGATATCAGAAAGCTTTTCTTATCATTAGGAATTTGCATCATCTTACAGCAGAAGTACAACATTGTCTCGTACGGTATTTGTAATTTGACACGGTTTTACACCGTAAAACCCAGGGTCCACAGGTTTCAAATGTAGGAAGGTTGGTTGGACTTAGTGACAAAACCGAAGGTAGGAAGCTTGGTTGGACATTGTGACCCAACCAGAGGTAGGAAGGATGAGGCAACTTCGGGAAACTTGAGACTCCGGTTTTAAGAACTGGTTGCTAAAGGGAGATTCGTACACGTGCACCTGTAGAGGGAGTATGATGGTGGTACCGTAACAGGAAAGGCCTTGGGTATCAGGAAATTGTTGTGGATATTGTTTGAAGCTAGGAGCATTCCCTCATCCACTAATGTATTCATGTAGGTTGCTTTGAGTATGGAGCATCTCTTGCACCTAATCTGGGACGTTAGTAGTAGCATCTCATCAGAGCCTCCAATCTCTCCTCCCATTCCCGCATCACCCTCCGAGTCTGCTCCTTCCCCTCTTCCTCTTCCTCCTCCTCCTGTTGAGCACCCTCCATTCAACTCCGACGGCAACACCACCATCACCACCAACACCACCAGCAACAGCACCATCAACTGTCCGCCATGGCTTCCGCTTTAACTTCAACCTGCACAATGTCGACTAATTTCCAGCCTGCTGGCACATTTCTTCGGACCTTAGTGTTCAGCGCGACCAGCGCTTTAAGAGGATACCCTTATTGTGTTCATACAGTGAACATTGGTGAATCTTACCTAGTCGCAGGGACTATTGAGGTTATGTCACGGTGCACTGAGTTATCGCTGTTAAGTGCGGATTGGCTACTGGATCCTGACCCGCCAGACAGGCAGATTGCGCTGTCTAGTTTCTTGGGAATTACATTGTTCCCTGACATTGGTTCCTTGCAAGGCAGGGCTAAGTTTCTCTAGCATACCATACCAGCAAGACACTACAAAAGCAACAGTGAAAGCAAGGAGCAAAACACATAGGTGCTCAGAGAAGGCTTTTTATCAGGCTTCTTAATCAGCCTGTTACCCTCGTCTCATCATCGCACGATGGCTGGTGGTCGTCGAAATGGACGCGGCGGTACGAAGGCTGGAGGGAAGATAAGCACCACTGCTGGCGACTCTCCACTGTCCAGCACGGAGCATTCTCGTGAGAAGAGTCCATTGCTGTCAGCGCAGGCCTCGCCTCGTGCATCTCCAAAGGTGGCTGCTGATGCGCTGGGTGATGCTGCAAAGATCACGTTGCAGGAACGTTTCTCTGCATTGAAGGTCAACGGGCTCAAAGACAACGAGGAAGGGAATGAGACTCAGCAGCCGCAGCCGAGTTCGGCGACTGCGGTGTTGCCTGATGACGCGTCCCTGGCTGCTGCATCTGCGGGCTGTAACAATGATGCTGATGAAGATGATTGCTGGGATAGTGATGACGACGATGATCTCGACCCGGCTACGATCAACCTCCTCGCGACTCAAGTCTGCTTTCCGATCACACTTCTCATTCCGATCAAGTGGGAGAGTGAAGTCCGGAAGTTGAAGGCTACGGTGGTCACGCATCTAGATAACCGAAAGGCCTCGCTAACGGCTGACGCTCAGACGACAATGAAGTACCAGGAGCTGCTGCCGGCATGGCTGTCTAAAAAGAGGTTCGGCAAGCTCCAGGTCACCTTCTAGCACGCGAGCGACGCAGCTTTCGTCTGGATGCGTTTGATTGAGAATGAGATGGGGAAGGGTGTTACCCTGACGCTTGACTGGCAGCATCCGGAGAACGCGACTTACAAGCGGGAGCGCCAGTTGAACCCGGATGCAGTGGAAGTGTTACTGAAGCCTGTTCCGGCTGGCGTCTCACCAGAGCTGATCTGCAAGATGCTGACGGAGGTTAAGTTGCTCAAGAAGGGGAGAGCCGCGTTCAGCAAGGGTGTGGGTTTCCACAGAGTGCAGGATCCTGTTACCGGAATGGATACTGACAAGGTGCGGGGTTTGGTGATCGAGCATGAAAACGACGAGGACCCGTGGCACCACGCGATCGCGGATTTGTCGAATCCCGGGAAGAAGCTGATGGTGCATTACCCTGCACTCACCTGTGAATACTGCAAGGGACAGCACATGACGCAGTATCATAACGCTTATGTTACGGAGCGTCAGTCCAGCATCGGCGTTATCAAGTGACGTGCTGGAGGGGGTTTCGTGCACATGCTGCTGTTCAGGAGAGAGGGTGGAGGTCAATCTCAGGCACAGTTTGTAGTATCACTTGTTGCGGTAGCAATAGTGCTGTACGATCATGTGGCGTGACTGATGTCAGCGGCGCGCAGCTGTCAGTTGTCATGTACCGGTCCAGAGCCCGCGGATGCGATGGGCTTCTCACCTGTTTTTTGATGGATAAGAAGCACACGATCACTTTCTGCGAGCTCAACATCAACGGGCTCGGCAGTGCAGGGAAGCCGACAAAGTGCAGAACCTGGCTAAGAGGGAAAGCGGACATTGCAGTTCTAACAGTTACAAGAGTTAAGGCAGACCACAACTTCTGGACGCAGCTCAAGCCGACGGCTATGGCTGCCGTAGGGCCGGCGGGTGCAGCAGGTGGAGTAGCGGTGCTGAGTTTTGTTCCTGGTATGGTCTTCACGGATATGTACTTACATGACTTAGGCAGGCTGGTAGCAGTGGTGGTACGGTGGGGTGACCTGGAGGTGCTTCTCATCGCAGCGTATTTGCTAGCGCAACCGAAGAATAGAGCGCCCTTTTACAGGGACTCCCTCGGCCCGTTTCTGGGCACCCTCCCAAACCTAAAAAACATCTTGGTGATGGGTGATTTCAACGTCATAGAGGACCCGGAGCTTGACAAGTCCACTGTTGTGGGCTCGGCGGCGGAGAATATGCGGCTGATGAGCTTCTGGGCGCGCACCCCTGTCACTGACGCCTTCCAATATGTGCACCTTGGAAAGAGGGAGTATACGTTCCACGCAAAGGGGAAGGGGGTGAGCACCAGAATCGACCGCGCGTTGCTCTCGCAGCCCCTGGTGTGCAAACTGGTGAATGCTCGTCACAAGGCGATAACGAATAAAATGACTTACCACTGGAGTGCGATGATGGTTGCTCTTGAGACCTCAGCGGCCGGGAAAAGGGGTCCTGGAATCAGGAGGTTAAGGGCGTTGTAGGCGAAGACGAAGGGTGTCAGAGAGAAGGTGAAGCAGGTGATCCGCGACGCCGGAGGTGATCTGGAGGTGCTGCTCCCGAGGCTATCGTCCTGCTTGCGGGCATATTCGTGGGAAGAGGGGAAGCGGGTTAGGGCAACTCGGGCGCATCTAGAGCGTGAGGTGGAAGTGTTCCGCAGCAGACTGTCGCGGAGACCAAGATGTCAACGAATTCGGAAAATCTTGCTTAAGAAAGAGGAATTGCTGAACGCGTACGAGAAGTCTCACATGGAGAACCTGCAGGCATGGGCGGGTATCAAGTCGGAGCTGGATGGGGGGGCGACATCAGGCTTTCTGACCGGGAAAATCAAGAAGCGGAAAGCAAGGACGGAGGTGCATGAGGTGAACTTTAAAGGGAAGGTTTTCACTGGAGTAAGAGAGGTGCTGTCGACGGGGACGGATTTTTTTAGGGGTCCTTTGGCGGCGGCGATGAGTCAGGTGTTGGGGATGCGGCGACGGGTCCTCTGATGCGCACTATCAGCGATATGAGTAGGGAGGCCCTCAGCGCGCCGTGGTCGGAGCAAGAGGTGCGAACGGCGGTGCGCGAGCTGGCCCCTGGGAAGACGCCGGGGCAGGATGGTCTTCCTAAGGAACTGTTTGAGCATAACTGGGACTTGTTGGGGCCGGTGCTGATGCAGTTCGTTGACGACTTCACTCGCTCGCTGAAGCTTCTTAGCAGTGTCTCCACTGAAGTCACGGTACTGTTGCACAAGAAGGGGAGTAAGGAGGAGTTAGGGAACTATCGGCCGATCACACTGCTCAACACAGTCTACAAGATTCTGGCAAAGGTTCTAGCAACGAGGTTAAAGAAAGTGCTACATGAGGTAATCTCTGAGGACCATGCTGGGTTCTTATCGGGGCGGAAGCTAGCGGATGCGGTCACAGTTGTGGCGAACGCCATCGAAGCAGGAGCCTGCGGCAGAGAGGACTGGTACCTGCTGATGATCGATTTCCGTAAGGCCTTCGACTCTATATTGAGGCCTTTTCTTTTCCGCATGCTGAGGAGAATGGGTATTCCGGAGGTGTTTGTGACTTGGGCAGAGGGTCTGCACAAAGAGACGGGCACACGGGTACATGTAAACGGCTGGACCGGAGAAACAGTTGCGGTTAAGAAAGGGGTGAGGCAGGGGTGTCCCCTGGCCCCGTACCTTTTCCTCCGCGCCGTGGAGCCACTGTGTCAGGAGCTGTCAAAGTGCAAGCTGGGCATCGGCCGGAGAGACACGGGGAAGCTAACATTCCTGGGTTATACAGACAATACGTCACTGCTTCTGCGTGGTGCAGAGCAGGTGTCGGTTGCGGCAGGAGTCTTGGATGATTTCGGCAAGAAGTCAGGTCTGAAGGTTAACCACGACAAGACGGTGTTATTTCCACTTGGGAGAAACAGGGGTAAGCCTCCGCCGACGGACCTGCAATACAAGTGGGCTGATAAAGGGGAGCCGGAGCGGCTCTTAGGGGTGTGGATAACGCCGAACAGAGATCCGCTGCCGTCCTGGGAGAAGACGCTTGACAAGGCGCGGAAGGAGTTAGCGAAATGGGAGGTGCAGCATCTGACAACGTCCGCGAGGGTCACATCACACCGATCTTCTTGTTCCACGCGTACATTTTCCCGCCCCCGGAGGATATCTGGACGAAAATCCAGAGAATCTGCCACAGATTTGTGTCAAGAGGACAGGCGACGGACGAGAAAGTCTTCATACTCTGGAACTATGATCTGATGTGTACACCAAGGGAAGAAGGAGGGCTGGGGTTGATATGCCCCAAGAAAAGATTCGTCAGTGTGGCGGTGCAAAACATCGGACGGATGATGCTGCAAAGAAACCCGGTCAAGAAGTGGCTGACCTCATGCGCTGCTATGATGCCCCAAGGTGCAGGCACGATTTTCACGCACAAGTCCCTGATTAAGCAATGGAAAGGAGGCAGCAGACGGTGGAAGGAAATGACGCAGGCTTTCTAGGACTCACCTTTCTGCGTTCTCCCCGAGCCAACGACCCGTTGGGAGGTGGAGTGGGAACGCCTTGCGTTCAATCGGCGGATACCTTTCCGTGGGGCCAGTCCTTTCCAGAACCAGAAAGACACCGACTATCTCCTGGAGCTTGAGACGATGGGCGACCTAGTGCAATCGTTGGGTAGCGGAGAGCGGGCCCTAGAGAGCGAGGAGGTGCTGACAAGGGAACTTGGCAGCAAAGTCGCGGCGAAGATGGCGCTGAAAGCTTTCGCTGCAGCACCGGCTGAGTGGAGGAACCTGGTCATGGAGAAGCTGACGAGTGAGGAAATTGTCGCCAAAGTTCCGCTCCTGCCCTACCCCGGTAGGGCGCCTGCAAAGCACACAACGTGGAAGTCAGCGCCGCGGAGGGTGATAAGGTGATCGGAAGGCTGTGCCCGGTAAAGGACGACGGTTCCTTCACGCCGTGCAAAGGGGACAACCTAGCACTCAGTTTCGGCCTTCAGTCTGGTGAACCGCTGGTTGCCTAGGGCAGCAGGGTGCTGGGGCTGATGGGGGAGGTGAGGACGAGGCTGCTTCAATCGAAGTTGTGTGAGAAGGGGGAGACGTTGCCGCTGAGGGAAATCAGGAAAACCCTTGTTAGCTCGGATGGCGCTGTAAGGGAGCACATGAGGTGGATTGGAGATGGAAGGGTCATCGAGTGGAAGAGGGTCATAAAGGAGAGAGACTCTCTCGCCATGCCTGCACGGGCAAGGGAAATTTTGCTTCGACTGCACTGTAGGAATTTGCAGGTGGGAGAGCGGCTTTTCTTTATGAGGAACAAAGTGGTCTGTCCACATTGCGGGGGCGAGGAGACACCGGAGCAATGTCTGCTCGGCTGCCCGGCAATCCAGAGAGTGGTTAAATTCTTGCGGGAAGGACTAGCAGCAATGAACCCGCAGCACGGCTGGCAGGGGCTTGAGGATCTGCTCTTCATGCAACGGTGCACGTAGTCGAGTTTTCTAGAGAGCTCCTTCATTGCCACCACACTCCATCAGGTGTGGCTGGCAAGATGTGACGCGATCAACCGGGACATAAGATTCTAGCCGAAGAAAGTGATGCGCCAGGCGGTGGTCAAGTTCGTCGTGCATGCGAGGGTGTACAATTTGGCCAAGCAGGTGGCTGCGAGAAAGCATGGCGCGCCAGATGGCTGCGACGTGTGGGCATTTCTGGAAGCTAACGTGTTGGTGCAACTTACGGTTTGCAATCGGCATGCATGCGTGTGTGCATGGAATGGAATGAGGGCATGGGATAATATATATTTCATGTTTATAATAGTGTGTGTATGATGGGTCATAATGTCGAGTATGTGTGTCGAGTCAATAGCGAGTTATCGCTAGTCGCGCGCTACGCGATCATTTGTGTGTCCCGCGCGGTTTCTATTTTGTCGTGTGTCTCGTGCGCGGTTTCTATTTTGTCCTATGTCGAACGTTCGGCGTGTCTCAGGTGTGTGCAGCAGAGCCATCAAGAACTGAAGGATGAGTTTGAAATGAAGAACCCGAGCCTTGGTGTCAAGCCTCATGTGATTTCGAAGCTCGCCAAAAGGGTACACTTCAAGATGTTGAAGATAGTTACATTACTTAGTGTAGTGTAACATTTCACTTTGTTAGGCCCCTTGGCTTAAATTCGCTAAGGAATAGCGGAGCTGACAAAATTGAGGATAAAGCGCGGCGGAAGACTTTGGCAAAAGATGTGTTGGCGAAATAGGCGAAGAAGTAACTGAGTAATTGATGAATGAGAATTCGTTGATATTGGTGGATACAAGCAAGGATGATATAGCATGCAAGGTCGAATGTCGGAAAGTACTTCGTGGGACTAGAAAGTAGAAGCAAGAAAGGTAGAGTGCCATGTGGCACTAGGAAATCTGAAAAGATAAGGATAAGGATGGGGTTGGGATTACTGTTCAAGGGAACAGGAAACACCCCTCTAACACTACCCTCCTCCCAAGGAGGCGACGTCCGCGGCGCCTGCAGACTGAAGGTACGCTTGGAGGCAAGCGTTGTCGGGAGACAGCGAGGACGAAGGAACCCAGCTGTCATCTGTTGCGTCGTAACCACGCCAACAAACCAAGAAGTCGATGAATGAGACACCCCCTTGGAGACGGCGACGGTGCCTGAGGATGCGCTGGATCTGGTAGTCGGGCTCGTCGGTGTCAACAGCTACCGGCAGTGGAGTGCGGTCACGGCCCGAGAAGGTGGCGTTGGGATCGGTGTAAGGACGAAGAAGCGACACGTGGAATGACGTGTGCATGCGGAAATGAGCGGGAAGGCGGAGGCAGTATGCGACTGGACCTAGTGCGCGCTCAATGACGAATGGACCAATGAAACGAGGGTGAAGCTTGCTGTCCTGTGGCAGTCGGAGGTTGCGGCTGTCGAGAAGGACACGGTCGCCAACTGAAAACGACACCTCACGACGACTGCGGTTGGTGGTGCGTGCCATGCATGCATTTGCGAGCTCAAGGTGCTTCCTCACGTGATCATGAATGAAGGTGAGATGTTGGTGGAAGTTGTCCGCACGAGGGACTGTGGGTGTGAGATCGACACGAGTGGGGACACTGGGGTGCTGACCGTACAGTGCAAAGAACGGTGACATGCCTGTCGACGAGTGGTGCGTGTTGTTGTAGGCAAACTCGGCCAAGCTCAACTTCTTGTCCCATGCGGCTGCGTCGTGCATCGTGCTGCGAAGAATCTGCTCCAAGGTCTGGTTCACACGCTCGGTCTGTCCGTCGGTCTCTGGATGGTACGCAGACGACATGGCTAAGCGAGTCCCAAACAGTGCAAAAAGCTGCTTCCAGAACTTCAAAGTGAAACGAGGGTCGCGGTCTGAGATGATAGAATCTGGAACCCTGTGCAGTCGGACTACGTTATCTACGAACCGCGTCGCGGCTTCCTCTGCTGTGACCTTGCCGTGCGTGGGGATGAAGTGCGCTGCTCGGGAAAACCTTTCCACTACCACGAAGATGGCGTCGTGACCCCTTACTGTGCGCGGTAAAGCCATGATGAAGTGCATCGTAACTATCTGCCAAGGGCGGTCGGGTGGTGGAATCAGCTGCAAAAGTCCTGCCTTGCGCTTGCGAGAGGACTTCGTATGCTGACACGTGTCGCACGAGCGAATGTAATCCTCTACGTTTGCTGCAAGCCCTGGCCAGAAGTACGTGCGACTAAGCGTCTTAGCCGTCTTATCTGCTCCGAAGTGACCTGCACTAACTACGTCGTATGCCTCGGAAAGAAGGAGCTGTCGAAGAGGGCGGTAGGCAGGAACCCAAATCCATGTGGTACCCTTCCGAATGTAGACACAACCTTGCACCTCTGCTCCTGCGGGCGGCTGTGGTGTGAAGTCGGGATCTACTGTGTAATCGTGCTCGAAGAGTGCTGTGAGAAGTGGATGGCCGGAAGTGACTGTGAGACTAGCGAGCTGGCAACTAGGGCGAGTGAGCGGATCTGCTAGGTTGCGCACGCCTGGCTTATACTCTATCCTGTAGTGGAAACTCCCCTCGATGAACTCCATCCATCTAGCCTGGCGACGACTCAGCTGCGGCTGCGACTTGAGGAAACGAAGCGAACAGTGGTCCGTGCGTATAATACTATCTGCCCCCTCTAGGTAGCACCTCCACACCTTATACGCATGGATGATCGCAAGCGATTCCTTATCGTGTATGGGATAGTTCAACTCCGCTCCCCTAAGCTTACGTGACTCGTACGCGATCGGCTGCAACCCGCGTCCCTGGTCCCAAAGAAGCACTGCTCCTATGGCCTGATCTGAAGCGTCGTCACCGGTGACTACAATGTCGGCGACCCAGGTGACGGCGGGCGGGATTGCACCGAGCTACGGCTACTTCAAGTTTATGTCGGACAGGATCTCAGTCACCCTGCCGCTCGTTGGTCGACAAGACATCCTCACCTGGAAGGAAGCCATCAAGCCCTAGCTGGAGATGGCCGGGCTGATCGGCTTTGCCCGAGGGACCGTGGCGACACCGGGGGAGCACCACCCCGACCTGCGTGCGGAGTTTCGCGCCGTGCAGTTGTTGACCTTCACGGTCATCTTGCGGTGCTGCTCGCCGGGCGTGCAGATTGCCTTGAAGTGGTGCTGAGAGTACCTCGACGCTGGCCACCAGGCGTGGAACTTCATCGAGTCGACTTATCAAGTCACCGACGACTTGTTCATCGCCCAGCTAGAGGGACAGCTGACGCACCTGCGCATGGGCGACGAGGAGACGGCGACCGACTACTGAAACCGGGCCCGGCGAATTCTCACCACCATCAGGATGGCCAGCGCTCAGTACTCGACGGCGTCGTACGTCACCCACGTCATGCAGGGGCTCTCGAGCAGCTACAACCTCCTGAAGCGGCTGTCCATGGCGCCGAGCACGAGGATGACGCTCAGCGAGGATAACCTGACCTCGTATATCCTGCAGGACGAGGCGATGCAGGAGGCCGAGCGATCCCAGGAGCTCTTGGCGCAGGCCAACTTCGTCGCCCCGACGAAGCAAGGAGGCCGACCAGTGCAGTGTGGGCAGTCGGGCGGCGGCGGTAGCAGTGGCTGGAAGCCGAGCAAGGACGCCGACAAGAAGAAGTCGGCCAAGGATAGCGGTCGCGGAGGAGGAAGTCGCCGTCGGGAGTGCTCGATTTGCCACAGCCCCGACCACCTCTCCTTCGAGTGTCCCGACCGCAGCGATACTGACGACGACGACGCTAAGGGAGGCCGCGGGAGGTCGGCCAGCCGTCGTCCACGTCAAGGAAACAAGCCGCGCAAGGAGAAGCAGTCGAGCAAGTCGGCCTCGGCGACGGACGCCGACTCCTCTGCAGGCGGCAAGGGGCGAGACGATAAGGCGGCGTCGTGCTCGCTGGTCGGCGTCGTGGAGCCGACCGTCTTACTGGCGCCGGAGGCCGGTGAGGACTTCCAGGCGGTAGCAGCAGCTATGCAGGCAAACCCAGCGGTGGTCCTGCTCGACAGCGGCTGCTCGCACCACCTGATGGAAACGAAGGAGGCCTTCGTCGACTTAGGGCCGAGCGGCGATGTGAAGCACGTGCGCAGCTTCAATGGGGCGCTTCAGGACGTTCAGGGCCGCGGCACGGTTGCTCTGCAAGGGGAGGCTGGGAAGCAGGTGCTCATCCCCGATGTGCTCTACGTACCCGGCGTCCGGGAAAACCTGCTTTCAGCCGGCCAGCTGAAGGAGCACGGCGTGAAGCTGCAGGAGGACGGCGACAGGATGCTGCTCGTCTCGGCAGCAGGGGAGGTGCTCGGTCGGGCGACGTACACCAGACGTGTTCTCTACACCGACCTGCGCCCCTGCTCGGCCACGCCGACAACGCCTACCACGGAGGTAGTGGCCCTGCGCGCGATCGTCTTGGGGACGAAGGCAACGCCGGACAGAATGCACGCAAGGCTTGCGCACGTCAGCTTGGACACCATCCGGAGCTCAGCGGAGCACGAGGTCGCCACTGGGCTGGACCTCAAGTCGCCGTCCGACGCCGACTCCCCGTGTACTTTG